TGTTTATCAATAAAACTGTAGAAAAAAAAAGAATGCAGCTGTATACATCTATCTTATTTGAATATACAGATACAAAATGATCGTTCATTTGTATCCCCTTTTTTGTTTAGTTGTGTCAGAGAAGCGTATCCCATTGTCATTTAAATATTGTAGGTATGCGAATTCAGCAAAATATTCCAGTGTAGTCCAGTAGTCCATAATAGTACTGGGTTTTCTGTAAGACTGGCGATGTCCGAAGTTGTTGACTTGAGCCTTTTACAGCTCAGCATATTAATATGGCTTTACTTTTTATATTTCATTTTTACACTTTTCTGCTGGATGGTTAAGACCAAGATAAAGCAAGACCTATATGACAAGAAATGTAACTTTTGTATCTGATAAGGTCAGTCTAATGCCCTCAGGATTTATCCTGAAACCCTGTACCACAGTTTGTAGATCCTTTGTCAGTGTCAGCCATGTGGATGATCACGGCCATTGCTTGGCCAGTTTGCTTTCTGTGAAAGCAATATTTTGGCCCTAGCCTTTCAAAGTCAGTGAAGACTAAGCACATAGGAGAACCTGTACTCTAACATCCTGTAACTCAGTTGTGTCCCAAATTTTCTGATCAAGGAGATAATGGGGCCACAGAGAAAAGTGATCCATGATGTGGAGTGTGCCTAAGGAGAGTCACATGGAGAGAAAACATTCTCATAGGCTATAGTTTTAATGACAGAAAGTGTTCTGAAATATTTCAGGTGATCATTTTATTCCCAAGTGGGTTATTTGAGAAAAGATTTGGGAAGAAATATATTATTACAATTACAAATTCAAAGCTGAGCCTTTCACACTTTCCTCTTGTTTCCATTATTTCTCAGGTTCATAAAACAGTAGCGATTCTGTATTTTATGTTGTCTCCTCAGAAGAACCAGAGCCTGTTGCTGTCATCTTGTCATTACTGCCACTGCCCCTACTCCTGCCCCTCCTTTGTCCCATTCTGTGTCTTCAGATCTTACAAGAGAGGATCGAGCTGGGTTGATGGCCACATCCTTACAGGGCAGAGCCCTTGCAGTGGTCACCCAGTGTGCTCTTCTGCATACAGTATTCCCAGAGCTCTTCTGTAACTCCTTACTGTAACTCTTTGCTGTCTTGTACCCTTCATATGATTAATTCTCTTCTTTCCTACATCGTGATTGATTGGGCAAAGAACATCTTAGCATTTCCACTTATTGGAACCTCATTCTCAATCCAAGGTCTTGAATGGGTATATGAATGAAGGAATGGAACAACTTGAGACCCATAAGGAGCAGGTACATTTAAGTACTGCGTGTAGCCTTTCCATTTCCCTTTGTGGTGTCTCTAAGGCTCCTGCTTATGTCTCAAAGAAGGTAGCATGGAGCTTGCCAGCCTCTAGGAGACCCCACTGAAACTGAACTTCAGTTTTATCTCAGTCCTTATATCAAATGTTTCCTGTGTAGAAGGCTGCATCTGGGATTTGTAGACCTGTAAGAAGGAATTTTCCTACTATCAAAGAACTTACAAGAAAGACTAGAGGTAGAGCTCAGTAGTGGAGCACTTGTCTAACATGCATGAGACCCTAGGTTCTATACCTCAGCACTGCAGGAATGAAACAAAACCAAAAACTCTCATAATTTTTTTTTAGGAAGAGAGGGTGCACAAAGCTGAAAAAGTGTAGTGGTGAGGTGATAGGTTCATTGACTTTACTTACAGTGGTTGCCCAAAAGTAACATTTGATTTTCAAATGAGCAGCATAAGATCTGTGAGAGTGATAGGAGTTTGAGGAGGAGGGATTATTTCAGCCTAGAGTGATCTGCGAAGGTCAACTGGAGAAGGAAGATAGAGCCTAGGTCTATGGGAGTGGATAAGGATTGGCAAAGTCTAGGAAAAAGGAGAAAAGACCTTGGAATGAGCAAGGAGCAGGTGTCTGTAACAATGAGTGGCCTGGAACCTGGAAGTGGTACAGGTGAAAAAGCCAGGTGGCTCCTGCAGGTGAAGATGAGGTCTCTCATGGTGCCTATACTGGTGCTTCTCCTCTGGGAATAACTGGAGGCGGGGTGTAGAGAAGAGAAGTCATTATTAGGCTAGAAGAGAGAGTTCTGAAACATTGGCCATCTCAGCTCACATGCACCTGAACAGAATTTTCAGAGTTCAGTGTTGGAGGAAATGAGTTACAGTACCAAGAGTTATCTAAATATTTTAGTTATTCTTCTCTCTTTGCTGGGACAAAATACCCAACACCCAAAATTAAGGAAGGAAAGGTTTAAGTCCATAATCAGATGGATCCAAGGCAGAGTGGCACATGGAAGAGGGCAGCAGTTCCTAGTGGCAGAAAACAGCAAAGAGCAAAGGGTGGGTCAGTAGCTGTAGCTTCTAGCAAGCTCTTTCCTCTCCTTACATTGTAAGGCAGATTACCCTCCCCAGGGCAGGTGTAGCATTCACACCTACAATCCCCGCACTGGATCACGAATTAATCACAAACTCTAGAAGCCACCCCATGACTGCATGAGGCTTCAGAGGAGGAGCTAGACACAAACCATAACACTAAGGGTTGGAAAGAGGGTTATAACTTATGAAGTCCTGTAGTCTTGGGTGAATTTTGTCTTCGCTTTTAGATCCCAAATGAAATGGAAATGTAGGCAAAAGAAGCTAAAGATGAGTGGTAGGCAGTTTGAAAATGTTCTCTTTGGCTGTATTTTGGTGGACAAGGAAAGATTTTTAGAAAATCCTAGGAAGAGCAGGGAGCGGCACAGTGTGGACTGGTGGAGGGATGATGGTCAGGTCATGCAGTGATCTGCTAAGCAAAGTAAGACAAGGGAAAGGAGACCCTATGGGTTAGAGGGGAGGGAGCATCAAAGAAAGATGGTTGATGGAGCAGATAAGACATCACATCAGGGTAAAAGCAAAGCAAAGATGAAGAAAGGATAAGGTGCTGGTGAGCTCTGAAAATTGATTCCTTTATACAGCTTTAGGTGCCACTATTGGGAGTTTCCAGCATTTATATAACCTAGATACTGAAAGGAAGGACTTGGTTATCATAACTCTTTACCATGAAACTGTTTCTCTCTGACTGTCCCTGGCTTTTAGAGGGCTAGTGCTGAAGGTATTATAAGATACTGGCCTGGTATATCAAAACTTTCTGCTCTGAACACAGTGAGGGTAGGAGAGGGACTAAGACTTGGCCAAAAGCAGCATCATGGATAATGTCCTGGTTCTCTACTTAGCTAGGTGTGTGGTAGACCAGGCCTACGTGTCCATAGCCCCCTCAGCTGAGCTCCTACTCAGAGAATGGCAGGCCTGGTCCATTCATTCCATTGCCCCACCCATGAAAGATGAGCAGGATGGGTCAGCAAGGACAGGTGGTGGGGGTAAGACCCCTGAATACATTCATCTAGCCACTTACCCTCAAGGAAGGAGGAAGTAGGAAAAGCTCAAGCAGGGGTGTAGAACTTTGAAGTGCAGAGGGGAGTGTCAGTAGCAGAAATGTCTCATGTTGTGTTTCCCTTCTGCAGAAGGGCACCATGCCGGTGGAAAGGATGCGAATGCGCCCCTGGCTGGAGGAACAGATAAATTCAAACACAATACCGGGGTTAAGGTGGATTAACAAGGTAAGTGTATTTGGTGTGTGAAATTGTGCATGTGTTCGTGGGAGAGAGAGTCCTTGCCAAAAGCAGGCCCACATGAGCCACCAGAAGTAAAATTGGCTGTTGTGTTCAGAATCTTAAACTTACTCATTACAGGAACCAGCCACCAGTGGTTATAAAACATCGAGTTATGATACCAGTGGTTTCCACCTTCTGACAGTCGCCTAAATCTGGAGTTCCAGCCACAGGTCCCCTTTGTCTTTTGCAGGACTTAGGGGAAGCCCCTTGCTGTGGTTTTCTTGAGGGACTCTGACCCTTTTCCTTGTCCATGTTTCTCTTTTGTTATTTTTGGCTTTCTAGGATTAAAGACATAGAAATTCCGTAGTTTTATGTCAGGAGTGGGGAATTTTGGGTTCTTTTTAGAGTTCCCTATGTAAAGAATTTTGGTTTCTGTCTTTAGTCGCTAAATGAAACCCAGTTTTTATGTCCCTATGTGCTAAAAAAGTAGTCATTTATACAATTCTCCTTTTCCCCCAGTACTCCTTTACTTAAATTTTAACCTTTAAACTCTAATTCAGTTGATCCTGGCTATGAGGAGGGACTTGAGAAGAGGTAATGTATGTAAAAAAAATTTAAAAAATATGATTATAACTAGAAAGTAACTATATATAATATATTATGCCTATTTTAAGGAAGCCCAAGGGAGAAGTTTCTCTCCTACTACCAGGAATAATTGCAGATCTCCTGAGGAAATGTCTTGTTATTCTTCTGTACCCTCCTTCCTTTTTCTTTTTAAATCTGAAGGACACAATGAATAATTTAGCCAGTCAGGCTGTATCTCTGTATCAGGTATGAGAGCTTAGAGCCAAACTGTGATTGTGACCTGCTTCTAGCAAGAGGAAGCAGTATTCTGGCATATTTTTTCACACTAATATCACTTCTGGTTTCATTTTGTCTTTTCAGATATCACTCAGATACTACTTTTTTCTGTTCTTATCCTTTCATCTGTTTTAAATTTAATGTTATTGTATTTGAATATATATTTAAATGAGTCCTTTCTGAAACAAGGTGGGCATAGAATAAATAGAAATAAATAAACCATGTGGTTGTTTCATGTATTCTGCTGCATACCTTTCATCTTATGTAAAAAAAAAAAAGTTTTTCTTTTTTTTTTTATGATGCTAAAGTCCAAATCCAGGACTTTGCACATGCCAGACAAATGTTGTACCACTGAGCTACATCTTCAGCTCACAGAATATTTTTTAGGCTTGCTGTGTCTGGTGTTTTAGATCCAGTAACAGCTGTCTTTCTGAGAGTCAGAAGAGAAGATAGAGGTAGAGGTCAGTGTGATGGAACCACCAGCCAGGAATTCCAGGAGCTGCCAGAAGCTGCAGGAAGCCAGGAAGGATTCTCCTGTGGAGATTTTGAAAAGAGTGCCCCGTGATTTAGGATTTCTAGCTTCCAGGACTGTGATAGAATAAAATTCAGTTGATTAGCAATGTTTAGGTTGCTGTCATTTGTCACAATAGCCCTACAAGACGATTGTACTCTTTAATGCTGCTTCCTTAGAGGTGCTCTGCATGGAGACCACTTTTCTTTCATTTACTTTGTGGGTGTTCCTGTCATCCAAGACCAGAAGGCAAACCCAGTTCTCTTTTTACAACTGAACGCTTATCCCTGGTGGCCTTTCCCCCAGAACTTCATTTATCAGGCTGTTGTTGTGAGTTCTCTTCCCCAGAAGGACATGGAAAGGAGTCCTTCCTGCTGCCTTATGGGTCCTCTGCTCGAATGGACATGAGCCCATTCATCTGCCCACATAAAGGCTTCACTGAACCCTGCTATTATTTCCTTCTCTCTCGCAAGCATTCTGAGAATCCTCTATATTTTAGGTGGTTTGAACTTATTTCTCTGCTGAAGACTGCTGTGACTCTAAGAAAACAGACACTATCCCTGGTACTTTGCGATTTACTTGTGCCTTAGCTGGTGTCTCAGTCCGCTTTGTGTTGCTATAATAAAATACCTGAGACTGGGTAACTTATAAAAAGCTGGTTAGAGCACTTGAACCACATGGGGCCCGTGTCCTGTGAGGGCCCTCATGCTTTACAACATGGTAGAGAAGCAGAAAGCAAAGTGTGTTAAGTTCGGAGGAAAGAGATCAGGACAGGGGCCAGCTTGCTTTTTTTTTTATATAACAACTTGATCTTGAGGAAACTAATTGACTTTTGTCTGATCTGATCCACTCCTGGGAGACATGTTAACCCATTTAGATGAGGAGCAGCAGTCTCATGACCTAATTATCCTCCATTAAGACCCCAACTCTCCAAGGTTCAGCTGCCTGAGCACCTCCACCCTAGGGGGCCAAGGCAACCTCAAAGGCCAGACTGAAACCTCATCCGGACCACAGCAGGTGGTCAGAACGCATTTTTATTTACAGCTTTCCAGGCTGGAAACTCCGTGTGCGGTACATGGCCCCTGTGATCGTCGCTGGGTGATGGGCTGGAGTAGAAGGCAATCCATAAAGCTTCGTCTGTATCAGACGTGCATATGAATGAAGGTTGTGTACTGATGAGGAGCAGCGTTGCTTGTGTTTGTGTTAAGATTATTTGATTTATGAATAGTGAGTGTGGGTTGGCCGTTGCCGCATGTCTCTTCCATGAAGCATCTGTCCCACCCACTACGTTTTTAGTAAGAAACAAATGGGTGATTAATTACTACCTTACTTTGTTTCCATTTCCTGCTTCTGGGAAGTTTGAAGGATGTTGGATTCTGCCGAAGGAACAGGGAACAAGACTGCGGAGCGGCTCCATGCATGGAGCTTTGACTCGAGGCATCTACTTTTTATTATAAGTATTTGCAACTGTACATATATTTTTAATAATGATTAGAATGAGTAGGATATCAAATTCCTGCATGCCCACATCTAGATTGTTAGATTTGTTAATATTTTGTGGTATCTTGTGGGTTCTTGTGTGTGTGTGTGTGTGTGTGTGTGTGTGTGATTTTAAAAGCACTCTGGCAGTGCACACGTGTAAGATCTAGAGTCATTTTCTTACACATATACAATCCCATTATCAATTGGAAAGAATTAATAACAATTTTAATATCATCGTTGCCCTGTTCATATTTAAATACTTTTAGTATTCCCAAAATATCTCTTTATGTTGACTTGTTCCAATGAGAATCTTAAAAAGATACCTTGTGTGTAGGTTTGTGCCTGTAAGCGTCTCCAGATCCTAAAAAGTCACCCCTATATTTTGTATTCCTTCTTGCTATTGACTTGTTGAAAGTCCAGGTTAGTTCTAGATATGTCCAAATGTTTACTATAGTTTCTCTGGGTCATTTACTTAGGAAGGAAGGAGGGAGCAACCTCTGAGCTCCTTGGTTTTTTTTTTTTTTTTTTTTTTCTTGGTGGTGTTGTTTTGTTTTGTTTTGCTTTGCTTTGTTTTTCCATTTATGTATTTGGAACAGGGTCTCACTGCATAGCTCCCAGTGCTGGGATTAAGGCATGTACCGCCATGCCCAGACTCGGTCGCCGGCTCAGTGCACTCCTGGGGCAGGGCCGGTGCAAGCTCCTCATTTCTTTCCTAGCTCTGAGTGATTCATACCGTGGGTATTGGTGTTTCTTATTTCATAATGGACCCATGCACCATACCACTCCCTAAGTGTAGGGACTGTCAGGTAGTGCCAGAGCCTTCCCTTTCCTTCCCTTTCAAGTACGCTTGTGTTAGTGTGAACATCAGGTTACCTCTCCACATGGTAATATGTCCAAACAAACAAAAAAAAAAAAAAACCACCACATTGATTGGAATATCTTATAAATACTGGGAGGAAGAGGAGGCAGAGGGAGACAACAGCCCCAGCTTTCTACATGGGACCAGGTATGTTTGTGTGCACTGCTCAGAAAAAACTCGGTTGTTTTTCTGAATAGCACTGCATCTTCTGCTCTCAGATGGACAGAGGTGGGCATATGCATCCAAGGAGAAGGAGGACTGGTACATTCAGTGCTTCCATAGAGGGAGGCTGCAGCCACACAGGTCCAGCGCTGGTCACTGGGTGGGGTGAGGGTGCTTAGTGATGCCACGGTCTACATAGACACAGCATCTCCTTGCTGTTCTTAGAACACCGATCCTGGACGAGGATGCTTATGCATGAACATTTCCTAAGTTTAAACAGAAATCTCACCTTTTTCCTTGAAAAATAGTCTCTTTAAAAAAGTCTTTTAAAAAGGCAGTCTTTTAAAAGCCATTTGTGATACATTCATTTGGCAGTTTTTTCGGCAGTGTGAAAAACCTAGTTAATGTTTACATGTAGCTTAAAATACTTTTTGCCATTTGAAATGTTTAAAAACTATTTAAAAGCTATTGAAAAACATCAAGTACATTCATAATGTTGTGCAGCCATCACTACCATCTAGTTTCAAAGCTTTTTCCATCCTGCACAAAGGAAATGCCATACCCATTAAACAGCCACTGCCTGTTTCTTTCTCCCCTAACTCAAAGAAACCGCTTTGCTATTTTTTGACACTAAATTTTCCCTTGCTAGATATTTCTTATAAATAGACTCACTCAATATTTGTCCTTTTGTGCCTGGCCTCTTTCTCTCACTGTCATGTTTTAAAAGTTCATCCATGTGTTTGCATGTGTCAGTACTTCATTTTATTCTTTGTGGCTGAGTATCCCATTGCAAGCATACATAACATTTTGTTTATCTGTTCATCAGATGATGGACGTTTGGGGTGTTTCCATCTTTGAGCTTCTGGGAGTGTTGGTACTGTGTGTACTGTGCGTCAGATTTTGTTTGCACACCTGTTGGCAGTTCATTGTATATATATTCAGGAGTGAAATTACTGGAGCACCTGACAGTTGTCTAACTTTTTGAGTGATGTCTAAACTGTTTTCCACAGTAGCTGCACTGTTTTATACACACTCCAATAGTGAGTAAGATTCTAGCTTTTCTCTATCCTCACCAATACTTTTTATTTTCTGATTTTTTTTTTTCTTACTTAGAGACATCCTGGTAGATGTGAGTTTATTGTTGTGATGTTCAGTTCCTTATTGATTAGCAACATTTACTATCTTTTCATGTGATGATTGTGTATCTTTTTTTGAGAATGGTCTTTTTGGGTCCCTTGCCCATTTTGAGCACGTACACAGTGGGTACTGCTGCATGAAGTCATTTTGCTTTCATGACTTCATGATTCTTGCATGGTTTCTCTGAGAATACATTTGATTTTGTATCAGCGTGTGCAGCTATTTAGATAATTTAATCTTCCCTGTACCAACTTTGTGTCTCATGAGATAGACTGCAGATTTTTACCCCAGAACTCTTTTTATCTGGAAAAAGCACAACAACAACATTTGCAGGGTCTGTATCTCTTTAGCAGAAAGTTTTAGTTTCTGAGTATGCACTTTAGGAAGATTCTCTGAAATCAGTTCTTTCTCATTTGTATTATTTTTCATGTGAACATAAAAATCTGCATTAAGAGATTTTTGTTTTCTGATTTTCATGGGTGTTATAAAATGGAATTTCACTGACTCTTTTCTAATCCACTGCCTTTTGGCTCACACCTGATGAGACCTTGCTATCACTTTGAGTGACGCAGGGTGAACAATGAGGAGCTTGTAAAAAAGTCTCTCAGTTCTTCTTTATTAACTGACTTTTAAAAAAATGGTAGAATTTTCCCTTGTAACAGTTTTTGGGAAACTCTCCAACGTTCTGAAGTATTTTCGGTTCAGTACTTATCACTGGTTCCGTGAAGGGATATTGAGTCCCTTCTGGGACATCTGTAGCCCCTTTGGACTTTACTGTGTGAGACTGAAGGGGTGGAAAATCCCTCCCATTTCCTTGCCTTACCCACTGTGTAGTGCAGAGGCCCTAGCACCTAGGAATTCCTAGAACAGCCTGAAAGCTTTCTAAAAAACAGTTTCCTGGTCTTTAATTGCCACAAAATGTGAGGCAACAGGTCTAGGACAGGGAATCTGCTAAACCCAAAAGCTGAGAGACAATGTGTGGTATGAATTTGGGGTCACATAACCTAGGTTTTGAATTTAGACACTTTAACCATATAAACTCCTTGGCTAAGTAATTTTATCCTGCTCCTCAGTTTCCTCAACTGTAAAGTGGAAATCATAACATATGCTTAGCTTCTTAGGCAGTAGCAAGAAACCTAACAGCCCAGCCCCGTGTGGACGCTTGGGGTCAAGTGCACAGTGCCTTGCGGACCTCAGTAACTCTGGTTCTCTCAGAGGGCCAGTCTCCTCTGCTTTCCCACATGGTTTTTCACCACACATATGACTATTTCTGAGGCATTAGTGTCTAAAAATAAATTTGCCAGGATTCATTTAGGTGATGCTGAGCTACCTTCTTGGGCTATAAATCATCTGATGTAAGGATTGTATTGAGGGGCATTTGCCAAAAAATGAATATCATCTCCTAATTTCTGCATATTCTTTTGGCTGTTTCAAGCAAGACAGTAGACTCATAAGATTGGAAGGGCAGACAGAATTTTTTTTTTTTTTTTTGTGGACTATGCAAGACATTTGGTTTCTACTATAGTGGCCTGAGATACCTTCATATTTCCTTCAGCGGCATAAAAGGTTGTGTGTTATTTTAGAGCAGTTCCTGATTTTTATTTTAATTTGGACAATTGAAGTTACTATTTACCAAATGGCAAGAAGAAATTAAGTGAAAAGCATTAGAAATTTTAGTTGTTTGCTAATTATTTGTGGTCCTCTGAAAGGGGCAAGACATAAATAACATAATACATTTGCATATCCCAAATCCTCCCCTTTGACTTTGGAATATATTTATTACTTCTCTGTTAGGCTGTAGAAGGTCTGATTCTTGCCCCAAGCACACTGTCAAGATTGGAGAGTCAGCCAGAAGTGAGTTTGGTTTAGTTGATTTCACTGTAGACAATGAACAAACTGAGAGGTCCTTAGTTGATACTTGTACTAGACAGAACCCAATTTCCCTCTGCATGGTTGGCCAACCCTGATGACTACAGTTCTTCTTCACTTCTTCTTACACCAGGAAAAGAAGATTTTTCAGATCCCCTGGATGCATGCAGCTCGGCATGGGTGGGATGTAGAGAAAGATGCACCGCTCTTCAGAAACTGGGCAATCCATACAGGTATTGAAGGTCCCACATCCCTTATAAGGCAGGCACTTGATAGTTTATTTCTGTTTTCTTTACACTTGTAAAATATCCCAGCTTATAATCTCATGAAAAAGTCTGAAAACGCTGTGAATTGTCACCAGACACTTCCAGTCCACACAAACACAAAACACATCATTCAGAAGTGGTGTTCTTCCCATCCCATGGGTTCTTAGTCTTTAATTTTCTGTAAATATGGTATTCTGATAAGTTCTCCATGGCTGTCAGAGAAATATAAACTCATTTGTTTTAGAGCTATAAACTTGAGTTGCATTTAGCTTCCCAAAGGGTAGTTGAGAATACATGTACTTATAAGAAATTATAAAGTAGTGAGCCATTATGAGGGCAGGATGTTTTATTTAATATTTGAATATCAGACATTTACTTCTGCTCATTGGTTTTCTCAGACTTCTAGTCTTCAGGATCATTTACATTCATTCTTCAGTCCATCTTTTCTCTCAGGTTGTTTGATAGAGCCAAGTTTGACTGAATCTGTTTAGGTTTTAAAAATAAAATACCCACATCCTAATAATGGTCTCAGTTCAAGGTGAATGGGGATATTTGGTTATTGTTGGTGGAGCCTGGAATGCAGAGTTTTCTTTGAACAACCTGTCTAGCAATACTGTGTTTCTGGAAACCATTTTTTATTTACCACATGTCTAATTTTTTTCCTCAACATTTGGTTATTTTGTTAGGGAAGCATCAGCCAGGAGTAGATAAACCTGATCCAAAAACATGGAAGGCAAATTTTCGATGTGCCATGAATTCTTTGCCTGATATTGAAGAAGTTAAAGATAAAAGTATAAAGAAAGGAAACAATGCCTTCAGAGTATACCGGATGTTGCCCTTATCTGAACGACCTTCGAAGAAAGGTAAAGATGTTTATTGACTAAAATAGTGATCTCTTAATGTATACCTTTGTGATTTACTTTTGCATCTGTAGTAACTCCAGAGGTAGAAAACTTGTTCAAGCTATAGGTGATAATTCTGCCTTTATCTAGCCTGAAAAAATTTCTTGCAAGTCAACAAAGGTATAAAAGATACATTTGTGGGCCAGGGAGATAGCTCAGCAGAATAAGTGCCTGCCTGGCAAGTGCAAGGTCCAAGGTCCTGGGTTTAATCCCTAGTACCCGGGGTGGGGAGTACATTTGAAATTTGGAATTTTGATCCTGTCCATTGAGAGTTTCAGAGAGAATTTAACATATAAATTTAGTGTAATGGGAAGTGTTTCTCTCTATGTGCTTCGTGAATTAATCCCTAAACTACTTTTTTGTTGTCGCAGGAAAGAAACCAAAGACAGAAAAAGAAGACCGAGTTAAGCACATTAAGGTAATCTTTGGTTGTTCAGAGAGAAAGCCAAAGTTGTGACCTATTTATGATTCCATACTCTGTTTCATAAAGACAAGTAGTATGATCTCTGGTGTGTTCAGTCTTTTGCTGCTGTGCTTTATGTGCTTCGCGTGTCTCTGCTTTGGTGTGCTCTCACTCGCAGACACAAGTACATATATCTGCTGCTTAATCTGATGTTGCTCATGTTGATGTATGAATGAAGTCCCAAATTCACATGGAGCTTGACAATCTGAAGCTTCTATCTGGTCAACACAACTTTTGGCTGTTGATCACTTAGGTTCAACTACACTCCAACAACTGGCTCATTCCGATAGTATGAAGGATATTTTCAGCTACTTATTCTTTACTATTTATTAAATGTATGTAGTTCTGTCAATTGTATGAAGAGATAGATAGATAGATAGATAGATAGATAGATAGATAGATAGATAGATTATGGCAGGCCATTAATTTGAGGGTACAATAGACAGCTTAAGTGTAGTTCTCAGTAGGTTTTTATATGGGTCCACTGTAGAACCATCTCTTATAATTCTTGAGGATTTCCATAGGAATGTGTATCTGTGTGTATGTTTTTCAGTAGGCTAAGGAATCAGAACTAGTTTGAAGATCTTTGTGCATGGATGCATAAACCTTGTTAAATAATGAGAGAGAAAATAAATCTCCCAAATTCCACTGGGCCTTGTGTCCATTACTAGGAAAGAGCAGACACTACGGTTATAGGGCCATAGACCGCTGGAGAAATGGTGTCTCTCTCTGGCATCCATTTATGGAAGAAGCCGAGCCCCACGATTGAGTGGCACATGTCTAAAATCAGGTAGTTACTGAGAACTGAATTTGAAGGAGTTGCTAAATATTCTGATACATAATCTAGAATAACTGTTGAAGAAAAAAGTCTAATGTCCAAACAGCATGTTCTTTAAAACCAAGTCAATAAGTTGAAAATTTTTCAGAAAAAATTCAAAATAATTTATTTTGGATAATATAGATAAACTTTTGAAGCTATTGCTTAGTGAATACACTGACACAGAAAAAAGTAATACATGTTCAGTGCAGACAAAGTTTTTTGGGGACTATTATCAATCTGCTATTGATGAAATCCATAGATGTAAAACCTGTGGCTACGGAGGGCTGACTATAGTTAGAATCCGAAGGAAAACTTAAAGACAGTCAAGTTCTAGAGATATTTACCTCTAACATGGAAAATAAGTATTTTAGGCAGAGTATTTTGGCAGTAATGCTTGCAGTTTCATTTTCATTGTTTTTAGTTTCTGTCTTATTTTAACTATAGCACAATATTAGGCCTCATTTTATTTTATTTTTACTGTGGAACAACTTTATACATATAGTAAGGAGATAGATAGGTAAAATTTACTCACAAATCATCACCCTAGGGGCTGGGGAGATGGCTCAGTAGAATGAGCACTGGCCTGGTAAGTTCAAGGGCCTGAGTTGAAGCCCCAGTTCTGCCCCCCCAAAAAAATCACCCCAATTTTGACATTAATCAGCTTCTGACCAATTTTGTTTCATTTGTACTTCCACATGCTTCCCAACTTTCAGTATAAAATCAATCCATTTTGATCTACAAAGATAAATTTTTTATCCTAATATTTTGAAGGAATTTCCAAACATTTTGTTATTTATTTCATAAATATTTTAGTATATATCTCAAAAAGATAAATGCTCTTTAAAATATCATAGTATGGCCAGTTGTGGTGGAGCACGCCTCTACTCCCAGCACTCAGAAGGCTGAGGCAGGAGGATCCCTGGAATTTGAAGCCAGCTGGAGCTATGTAGTGAGTTCAAGTCCAGCCTGAACCAAGACCCTGTCTCAAGAAACCAGAAAAAAACCCTTACAGAATCATTGTTGTAACTGAAAAAATTGAACAAAAGACACTAATTTTATATTATTGTGAAGTATCTAGCTACTGTTCAGATTTCTAATTGTCTCATAAATTTATTATAACATTTATGCAGTTCACGTATAGTTTGGATATGTGAACTAAAATTTCATTTTTAGTCTGTAGGTTTTCTTGCATCACTTTTTTGAAAATATAGTTTCCCTCGCAATTGAAAAAAACAACTAATTATTGGCTCTGTACAGTTACCCACATTCAAAACTTTTAAGGCCTACATTTTCTTAGTGTTGTTTAGTCAGAAATGTATAATTTTCCTACAAATACATGGTTTTGAAGAACTTACTGCATTCTTAAGTGTGACTATTCATAATTACTACTATTTCCACAGCATCTAGTCCAATGCCTGGCACAGAATAAATAAGGAATATATATTTAATAAATGAGTGGGTATATAAGTACTTTTTGAATAAATAAGTAAGTATATGTGGTGAGAGGGAGGATGCAGAATTTCATAACTGCAGCTAGCAGATAAATAAGAATGGAGTGATGTGTTCACTTTTCCATACATTTTGTCCAATAGATTCACCATGATCCATTTAATGCCAGATGTCAATTATAGTAGGATGCTCTAATATTTTATGTATTTCTAAGACAGGAAAAAAAACACTTTCAATGAAATGGTGGTCCATAGTTGACTGTAAGGCATATCCTATTTCAAGCATGTGGAATTATGTAGCCTAGAATGAACAAGATGAGGAATTTTCATAAGTAAACACATTTGCCTTCTAGTATCTTCCACATGGCCACAAAAATTAGCAGGTTGTGGAAGGCACAACTTGAGGTGTCCCCTAGGAATAAGGTTCCCCTACGTGCGGCCGTGTATGTGGGTGAGGTTCCCTCAGCAGAGTGCATATTATGAAATCTTTGTGTAATAAAGATATGCTTAATACCTGAAGTATGTCCCTCGAGGGACATTATTCCTTCAGTAGAAGGCATATATTTCTTCAGCTGTAGACACAGTGTAAGTTTTGAATGTAAATCTGCTTGATGTATCTTACAGTACAGATACAGAACATGGATAAGACCAGTTGGCTTCCCAAGTTCTTTGATTCCTGGCAGCTAAGGCCCTTGTATTAACATAACTGTAGAATACTTCCAAAGATCATTCCCCAGGTTGCATAGTTATAGATTCTTGTTGTAAGTCAAAACACTGAATCTCCAAGTTCACATGCCATGTGCGTAGTAGGCTTCTACTGAGAAAATTTGTCAGTACAAATCCAGTGTAGTAACAAGATGTGGACACTTACTGTTTAGGCAAACTCTTTTCAAGTTTCTATTTGAGTTGGATTGAAGTTTTAATTAGCAAACAGTGTTTAGAACATGCTGGCTAGGTAGCAGAACTTTTCTTGGGCCACTCAGGTAGTTTATCTCTGTGCTCTCTGTTGCCCAAGAAAATAGTATTCCCAGGGCCCATGGCCTTGTGGTAGCTTGGAAATGGTGCCCCCGTATTTTTTGGTGCTTGTGAGTCTAGCTTATGTACTCAGTGAGACGTATTTTTCCTGAACTAGGTTATGTGAATGAAACTGTCTTTTAAGGAAAATAAAACAAGGAAAACAGTAGTGAGCAGTACTAAATTGTGCGTTATCACTGGAAAAGCACCAATATGTTTTTAAAATACAGAACAAAATGCTCTGTGGGGATTCAAACAAGGCTGAGAAGAATAAAAGTAGGCCAAATATAAAGGGATATTAATTGATAATTTTGAGCCCCTCCAGGTAGTAATTGTTACTTTATTTGGTTTTCCTGCTTATGAACAGTTTATCTCCTTTCTCATATTTAGAAAGTGGGGACGCAGAGAGTTTACGTCACTTCCCCAAAGTTGTACTGCTTTCTAGAGCTGGGAATGCAAGTCAGTCAACTGCAAGCCAGGGAGGTACCAGTACCTCTCAACCTACCAGAAGCTATAAGAATTGAGTCAGGTCATGTGAATGCATGGCATAAAATGGTGGATGTTTCCTGGCACTCAGAGGCTCATGAGTGAAAGAAGGCTGACAGATTAGAGTTGTTGCTCAGTCTTTCCTGGACAAGTCAAGAAGACGGCTTAATTGAAACAGGAGTTTGTGTGAAGGAAGAATGAGAAATAAAGACCTGCAAAGAGGATGAAAATGAATGAATACTTTCTGCCCCAAGGATGGTTTGCAGATTGAAAGCACTTTCTCCAAAACTACAGAGTGCTTCCAGATCAAAGCATTCATGTGACGGAATTATAATTACTTGAAAGTCACTTGATAAAAAGACAGCTTGGGCTGTGTTAGATGTGAATAAAGACCTATGTTTACATAGACATAGGTCTGTATAAAGTCCTTTTGATGTACAAGTTACACTAAAAGAATAATAGTCCGGCAGAACTCTTATAGAACTTTTGGCTCTAGCAGTAACATGAACTAGATTGAATCAAGTACAGTGCTCTCTGCCATCATTCAGAGAGACAGGTAAATGACCAACTACCTGAAGGGACAATACTCTATTGATCTCTTCTTTGGCTGGAAGAGAACTTCTGTTTTTAAACTTTAGCCAGATGAAAACCCAGCAAGCCATTCACTTGAAAAACACATAAAAACATGGCCTCCCTGGGTGAAACAGGTTATCAGGTTTATCCTACCAGCTTTGGTCCCTGCCTTTCTCCGGCTCTTGAGGGGACTGGACAGAGCAGTTTGAGAGCTGATTCTCTTACTTAAAAATGATTTAATGAAAAGAGACACAATTAAGTTCCTTGGAGCAGATTTTCAGAGCACAGTGGAGTTATTTAAGAAAGGTCCTGACAGAGATTAAAGGGCATGAAGGGGAAGGGAGTCCATGGCATGCCTGGACCAAGATTGTGGCATTGGAGTGGAGAGGAGGAGGTGTGTACCCAAAGCCTGGAGGGGGCTATGAGGAAGAAGGCAGGAGTGGATGAAGGAGGAGCTCCTGGAGAGGGAAGGTTGGGAATGGTGTTCACTTGTGGAGAAGGGGGAAAGTTTAACCTGGAGCATGTTGAGCATGAATGGCAGAGAATGCTATAAAGCAAATGTCAAGTAGAAAGTTGGGTCTCACAGGCTACAGCTGTGCTAAGTGTTGGAGGTGCATATGGTTGGCCCTTTGCTCCAGAATGACATTTCCAAGAACTGAAGCTATGTGGTCTTTACAGAGATGCCTTCTCCAAGAGAAGCTCAGGGAAGTGTCTACAAGGGTGTTCAGGATCTCACTACTAGATGAAACTCGTAGTGATCCACTTGTTTATAGCCTCCCAAGAGCTGGGACTATAGACATGTACCACTATGCCCACTCTTAATTGGCATCTCATTGTGCCCCGGGCATAGCAGGCCCAGGGATCAAACCACCAGCCTGAGCTATTTAATCCACTGAGCTATTTGGCCGGCACTTCAAGAGAAGCTCTTTGAGATGAAGATGGACCCTAGGCAAGAGAGGGAGGGAAGAGTGAGCTGAGGAAAGAAGTCAAAAGGGGAGGCTCTAAGAAAAGAGGGAAGAGAGGGATCTGGCTACATTCCAGAGGAGAAAGGAAGGATCAGGCACGTGAGCAGAGCCTCTGTTCCCTGTGGTGTTGTGGCCTCTGTGGCACAGTATATCCTTTCACCCTGGTCTACTTCTTTGCCCTAATTTATAGAACTCTGCTTATTTAGCTTGAGATTTTTGTTATCAGAGAGAACTAGAAAGTCCCCTGACTAGCTTTGTGTAGGTAATTAGAGCATTTTTGGCAGTGGGAAATGGCTTGGGGAAGGGAAGTGAGCTTACGGCCATTGTACTGGATCTTAGGAGAGGGGAGACTTAGACAAAGACCTTTGACATGGGGTTGAGACAGAGAGTACTTGGAACAGAGATGAGAAACTGTCCAGCAGAGCTGTCTGCTGTCCCTTAATTTAGATTTACCTAAGTCCATAGAGCAAGCCTTACTTTGAGACCAGGCAATGGCAGTTTATTTTATAAGTCAAAAAAGGCCATCCCTGCCCTGAAGCTCTTTACTACAGATTTGCTTTTGCCTAAATTGTAGGCCAAGCCATAGATTTACTACAGAAAATTTTCTTTGTAGAAATTTAGAAATACAGAAAATACTTGGTAGAGCTGGGGGTGGTTGTACATGACTATAATCCCTGCACTCAGGCTGTGCTAAGAGGATTGCCATGAGTTTGAGGGCAGCCTGAACTACATGTGAGACCCTGTCTCAAAATGAACAGTAAATAACGTGAGTTCTTGGCAGAATAAATATACCATTGTGGTAACTAGACCAAGCATGATCTGTTTGTTTTGATTTGGACCAAGAGGATTAGGAATGAAGACAACTATAGGATCTTTGAGATATAGGAGCACCTGTATCTAAATGAGGAAGGGAACAGGGAGAGGAGGCTGACTCAGTGCAAGTGTGGCAGGTTCTGGGGAAGCAGAGGCAGGTGAAGTTGAGACGGGGTAATAGGAGGTGCAAAGAGGACCAGAATAGGCAAGGGTAAAGGCCATTTGTGACCTGCACTATCCCTATGCACATGTCATAGAGAACTGTACATATCTTTTCTGAATTTGGGATCCTTGGATTTTAAAATACAGTTTAGATAGGCCTCTCTGCTTTTGATTATTTTAAAAATTTGACTCCATGTACTGAAGACCTTTCTCTCGTGGGCCTGTCATTCTTCATACTGGATGGAGACCCCTTGGGAGGGGCTGACTCTGTTTTCATGTACAGCTCACCATCTTTCTTTTCCAGAATAGTTGTACAGATGAGATGTTTTGTACTGAAGACTTGGAAACTGACGGTGTATTTTGAAGTGGGGGTGGGAGGAGTAAAAGAAGGTTCTAAACAGTCTATTTCCACAGGTAAAATGTTCTTGTTTCAGTATACTACAGAAATAGACAGAATACAAGGTAGGGATTGGGAGTGTCAAAAAATGGCCCAAATAGTTCTGTCCCAGTCTCTAGTGGAATGAGTGCAGGACACAAGGTTTATTAAGACCAAGACTGGGAGCTCCTAGAGTTGAACCCAGAGCTCCTAGAATTGAACCCTACAGTGTGTCTAGAGACAGGGTTCAGTTCAGTACTAGGTTACATCTCATCAGACTAAAAGCAGTGTGATCTTTGAAAACTAACAGCCTCTAAGTCAAGATTTTCTCAAGTGAACCCAGTCTTTAGTGATATAAGTATCATTTGCCACTTATTAAACTGTAAATAATGTGATACAATTAGAGATCTTCAATTGAGAAGTCAAAATAATTCAGGTTTTATATATATCTGATTGCCTCATTGCTTTGATAAATATTCAAGAAACTGAGTTAAAAATTGACTTAAAGTAGTGAAAGGAGCTCATAAAATCAGCTCTTTCTATAATTTCATAAGTTACTTAGATTTCTTTTTTTTTTTTTCATGTTGTTTGTTTGTTTGTTTTTTTGTTTGGCAGAACTAGGGATTGAACTCAGGCCCTTGCACTTGCCAGGCAAGCGCTTATTCTACTGAGCTATCTCCCCAGCCCCCTAGATTTCTTTTTGAAAGTATTGAGGAAGTAACAATGGAATAATGGGTAGGAAGAGACAATAAAAAGGCCATTGTGTAAGGCATTAAGGAAGGAAGGTGCCATCAGAGAGGTATAAGAAATTGTCCAGTAATTCAGTACTGTCAAGAAGAGAGTGTCTGGTCCTTCCTACTGGATATTAGAGAATGGAGTCTAGGGAAATGGACTTGAGAAAGACAACTGGGTTGAGGAGAACAGATTTGTATTGATGGCCTTGACTTGTATTGATAAATGGGAACATTTACTTAATAATAAATGCCATGTACACATTTATCTCTATTAATTTTTACAACATTCCTGTGACATGGATCTTGTTATTACCCTCACTTTATAACTCTACAATGCCCAAAAAGGAGCTTAATGAGATTGAATAAGCTCTTGTACTAGGTTAGAAGTGGAGGAGCCAGGCTTTGCCCTCTGGCCTGCTGATTCCAGAACACATGTCCTAACCACCCTTTTGGGAGACTGATTCTGCAAATAGAATGGAAGAGAAATTGTGGGTACTTATGGAGTGCTGATGAGAAAGTAAAGTTAGAAAGGCAGACATTTGTTGTGAAATTTGGCTATAAAGATAGAGAAAAACTCACAGCTTAGGTCATAGGCAAGTGATTTTCCTAGAAAGGTTAGACTTCTCATTTGCCACATAGAAAAGAAAGAAATGTATAAGATGTTGAAGGAGAAAAAGGAAAAATTCAGTACAGTAGAGCTGTTCTGGGCTTTTTGTGATGTTTAACCTTTGGTACATCTGGTATACCATACAGTGTGTGATGTATTTATTTTCATCTGAGCTGAACAGTGAAGTAATGATTCTGAAGCTACAGTTGTCACAGTGGAAGTTTGTCAGGAGGTATCATGAAGGGGGAAAATATTTCTCCCCCTTACCCATGTAAGGAAATCTCTGTAAGATTTGGGGGCTTATCATTGATTTTAAGTAATGTATTAATAGGTACGAACACTTGCCATGCCTTAGGTTGTCTATTGCTCTTGACTTTTCAAAGAGTGGTCTTCTCTACTGCCATGTTCCTCTAATCCTAGTCCTGTTTCTTCTACCTCTTCACCTTCTTCTTTGTTTTGAAATCTTCAGGAATTGTTCTGTGTGGCTTTTGTCTGGCTTATTGCTATCTTTGAAGCAAATGCAGTCTTATCTTGAGAAAATTCTCTCCTCAAAATGCTGAAAGTGAATGTGTGCCTGGGCTGGCTCTCTGGGGGCTGGCTAGTACTGCAGGAATGGAAAGTTCACACACACTTGAATGAAGCAGACACTGAGAGCTGTAATGAGAAAGGAATTTATTCTCACTTCAGGAATAAGAATGTATAGCCTCTTGGGCTGGATAGGATATTTAGGCGCTCAAAGGACACTGATGTGAAGCCATGGGTCTGGGATTGAGCTCCTGGACTTCAGCCAGAGAGAAGGAGTATGGCCCATGCTACCAGTGGTTACCTAGTTCAGGATGCTCAAAGACCCCAAGCCCATAGCAAACCAAATCTGAAGAGAATCCATCCACAGCTTCCACTAGGTTCTTGTTCTCAGACCAGTTGTTGAGGTAGCTTCTTCTAAGAAGTAATTATAGAAGTGGTGGCCCGACTCTTCCAAGATCGCCCTTGGAGAAGAAAGGAAGACTTGGAATCTATGGAGTGCAGTGTTTTACAAGGCTAGCACTGCAACTTTGCTTACCACCAGTGCTATTGTCTGCAGCAGTAACCATTTCCTAAAGGCAAGCCAGATGGGCTGGTACCTTTTCCTTGAAGAAAAATGAAAGAAATTAAGTATCCAGCAGCACACACTGCAGAAATGAGCTGCTGTAGCTCACTGCTGATTTAAAGAGGCAGAGGATGCATTTGTAAGAGGGGCACGAATCATCCTGTTGTTACAGAAATTAGACAAAGAGTAGAATATAAGCTAAGAAAAATGAGGGGGAAGAAAGTATTCTCAATTCTTTTTTCTTTTCTTCTTCCTAGCAAGAACCAGTTGAGTCATCTTTGGGGCTTAGTAATGGAGTAAGTGATCTTTCTCCTGAGTATGCGGTCCTGACTTCAGCTATAAAAAATGAAGTGGATAGTACGGTGAACATCATAGGTAAACTGTTTTGACATCTTATTTTTTATATACACAAGCAGCACTCCAAGGTCTAAAATTTGGAAAACAGAGATCTTGAATAGGAGGAAGTTTTGGAACAATCTTAGAATCCCAGTTCCTGTCCCTAGATTTCAGGACTGAAAAATAAAGGCCTTTGAAGGTCACATAAAGGAAGTTAGACAGATTGGCCTAAAGAGTAGGCAACTTCCCGGAAAAATGTCTTTCTCTTCCAGTGGCTAATGGTTAGCAGTTATTAATCTTTCACTATTTAGTCATGAACAGAGGAGTAATTAATTTGGGAACTAAAGAGAGGAAAGAATGCCCTTAATAGTCCTCTCTGCAACTGTTCTGTGCACCCCTGATATAGAGGGGAGCTCACTTTACAGGCCAAGAAGCTGAAGCATGGAGCTTTGTTGACAAAGTCACAGTCTGATTCAACAGATATTTTTGAGTACTGTCCATGTACCTCTCAGTACTATAAACAGGAAGTACACAGAGGAACAACACAGACCCAATTCCTATTTTCATGGAGAGATGCAGACTGTAAACAGACCCACAATACCCACAGCCTTCCTATTTATGGTAAATACAGTAAAGACAAGAACAGGGCAATGAGGGAAAGTAACCTGGAGCAGATTTAGATTGGGAGTTCTCAGGGGATTACTGAAAGTGGCTTGTTGGGGGGACCATCAGTGAGGTGTGGGGCAGACACAGTGCCCATGAAGACCCTGGGTGGAAACAGTGGAGGAACAGAAGTGATGTCAGTGTGGCATGGCATAGTAAGCCAGGTGAGACACATGAGGTCTTCCTCAGAAGTAGTCAGAGGTGTTACAGGGGCTTTTGTAGGCCCTGGGAAGGAGGTTGGGTTTGATCTCACATTACTGGAGGGGGAGTTGCTATAAAAGTTAATTGGAACACAGCATTGACAGTAGAATACCTGGATATTTACATCCGCACAATGCAAATGCTACCCTTTGGTGGGTTTTAGGCAAAGAGATGAGCTGTGAAGTGCATGTTAGTAGAGTCACACTGGGATGCCATAGTAAATAGATAGCGGGGACCCTGTGCAAGATGGAGACCTGGACATGAACTTGGCTCAGCCTGGGGCTGAGAGCTGGGGCTTCTTGATCCATGGGTACCTTTGCTTCATGAAACTTTGCTGTAGTCAAGGCTTCTGATGTTAATAAGAACCAGAGAGATCAAAGCGCTATAAGAATAAGCATCTAGGCTGGATGCTTTTATTTCTGGGCTTTGGAGTTGTGGAAGTAGAATCACACGTCAGGACCATTGTGCACACTAAGATCCTTGGGGAATGCAGTGTGTGAGGGACAAATCGTGTAAGGCAGTTTGGCCTGGTTTTCCCCCTATTTTTGTCACACAGTGGATTTTGAGCTGAGATCTATCTCAGAGGCCAAGTACCCTTCTCTCTTCCCAGGGAGGAGCTGCAAACTGAGTTCCTCTGACGGAGGTGGCTGGTCTGAGCTGGAGCCCAGCTGTCTTCCTTCCAGAGCCCCTTCTTTGCTTGGCCCCAGCTTCTTCTCACCCCCACTGTGGTGAGATCATCTCCCTTCCAGTTTCTTCTTCACCTTACCTCCCTTGGCGGGCAATCCCTAGAAAGTGCACAGAGGACCCACTGAGCCCTCAAAAAAAGGAAGCTGTTTGTCTAACTCCAGCACGATTTCTTCAGACTCATCTTATTTTGAGTGGGTTGGTTGGTTTGGGGAGTTCCTCTTCATGTATGTGTTGAAGCCAGCCTCAGATGATACGCCAAGCTAAAGTAAGAACTGCATTGGGGTCTTCCTTATCCATTTTAGTGCTATTTATTTATTGTTAATTGGTAAATAAGAACTGTTTGCTTATGGGATTAAGTGTCATGTTTTGAGGTATGTGTTCAAGACAATCCACGTATCTGTCATCTCACCACCTTATTTTTTTGAGGGTTAAAAGTGTTTAACATGGAGCTGGCAAGATAGCTCAGCAGACTAAAGTGCCTGCTTAGGCAAGCTTAGGCACATGCAGGGACTGTGATTCAATCCCCAGCACCATATGCCACACCAGCCCTGCTCCCAGAGCTGACTGAGCCTGCCAGAGTACAGTTGGGCAGGTGTAGTGGTGACCATCTATAATCCCATCGCTGAACCTTTACCTTTTCAGAATTTTGAAATATGCATAATTATTAACAAAAAAATCATTAAGTATACAACAGATCACTAAAACTTATTCCTTCAGTGTATATATGCCTCTGAAACTTTCTGACCAAACATCTTCCCTTTGCCCAGTCCTCATCCCTGGCCCCAACACCCAGAACCCCCTCTGTTCTCTCTGATTCTGTGAAGTGGCTCCTTCAGATTTACATATGGGTGAAGTCAAGCAGTCACTGTCTTTGTGCACCTGGCTTAATTCACTTAGAGGAAGGTCCTCCAGTTCTGTCCTGTCTCCCCTCTCTTTTTAAAGTTCGATTTGATTGAGCCTTCAGGATATGATTCTATGTCAGCTTAATAATGACTTGAAACAAAACGAGCTTGGCTGTAATTTTTCATTAATTGGTGGCCTTATGAAGGTGTATATGTGAAGTATATCTATCAAGGATTATAAAGAGGACAGTATTTGATTGTTGGTCATGATTGCTCTGTCTCTAACTTTGAACCCTGCACAGAGCCTTTACCCAGTGCCTCCTGTCTGATTATTTATTAGCCATCTTAGTCCATGTGATTTGTGGATAAACATGGGATTCAGATCCCAAGGCCACTGTGGCATTTGGAATACTCTGTCTCTCTCTCCCTTTGTCTTGCATCATGGTTTATTTCAAAATGTCACCCTTTCTTGCCTTTAGTAGTGAATGAAACCACATTTCATTTCAGCTTTGTGTTTGAGTCCCAGTGTGAAAGATGTGAGGTGATTTCATCCTACTTCGATGAGCGTGTTTATAAGATTAAAATTAGGAGCTAAAATGTATACTGCACATGATAGTTTTTAGAAAAATGTTGTGTTGGAGATTTTCAGCTAGGGGAATGGACTGGAAATCAATACCCGAATTCATTTGAGGCTAGCCACAGGTATATTTGCATTCCGGACAGGGGTGGCTGTTTTCCTAAGCAAATAACACTGTGTGCAAAATGTGAAATGTGCTATTGCCCTGACAAATGAACTCTTGTTTGATTGCTTCAATGTTTTACTTTTATTCTTGCCACAGCAGAAACACATGCATGCGCATGTGCACACATGTGCGTGCGCGCGCGCACACACACACACACACACACACACACACCCATCAGAGGGCTGTGTCCTGTCCTTGCTGCCCTCCCTATTAACAACTGGAAGTACTTTCAGAGTCAGCCAGCTGTGCACCCCTAAAGTATGTGGTGTCTCCATGTAGAAATACGTCTTCTAAGGTTCCTGAGCTCCTGTGTGCTTAAGTACCTGTGTTTAGCATCTAAACAGCCTGTCTCTGCTTTCCCTTTAAGAGGAGGGAGGGAGGAAATCCTCTTTATTTTTAGTTTTGGTTTTCTTTAGCACTGAGTTTTTGTTGTATGTGCAGTGGCTTCTGTGTTTAGGAAGTGGAAGAAGCCAACATGTTGAATTGTTCTGAGCTCTTGCTGGCTCCTTGCCCACGTAACAGCACTTCTGCTGAGCGCTATAGAAATGATCTCAGGCCACTGGAAGAAGGTTGCAGGTGTGGACCTTCTGTCTGACTGGCCAGGCTGTATTTTCTCGAACCATTGTGTTTCTTGATAAAAGGTAATCCCACTCTGCAATAGAGCAAAGGCTGCTTGGAAACATGTGGACTATTCATCACTCTGAAGTACATAAAGCCAGCTGAAGTGACTAGACACATTGCCAGTAGGAAGTAAAGTGTTTTGGATTTTGTCTATTTTTGGCTGCTCCCGGTGCACCTTGGAGGACATTCTTTTCTGGCAGTTGCTTCCAACTTGACTTTTTCTAAAGTGAAATTCAAGCAGCTTTGCTAGCCCAGCCTGGAAACCCCAATATCGGCAGAGGAGACTGAAAGCATGAGAGAACAAATTCACAGCTTAGGGGCTGGGGAGCCCTGTGGGTTCTCTTAGAACCAAAGGATGGCAGCGTCTGCCACCATAATTTGTATAGTTGAGGATGATCATACCAGGCTGCCGAGGTATCGCTTCCCATTCCCACTGTCCCCTAGTGTTTTGCATTTTCCTGGTCATTAACAAGTGAAATTACATGTACAAAATAAAAAGTAGTTTTAGGAGGATCTTTAAAGGGAGGGCACTCTTTTGAAGGGGACAGTCTTTTTCACTTCAGGGGGTGACAGTTGTGCCGTGGAACTTCTGGAAGGGTGAAGCAACTCCCCAGTACCAGTGGAGGTCAGAGACAATGCATCCAATAATATCAGCTCCCCTGCAAAAGTCCCAGCCGCAGAAAACTCTATGCAAGAAGGAGCCAAGAAAGCCCAGTGCCCTCACACACAGAGGTCATTGTGTAGTTTCTTTTTCTTTGGTACATTGGTCCTTGAAGTGGCTTTGTGAATGGGGACATGTTCGTATGCTGACCTGCAGCTCTGGACTCTAGAGCTTGGCTGTTCTTTTTTCAACCTTGTCATCCAGCTCCTTCTCATTCTGACACTGTTTCTTTGTGTACCTGGCCCCTGCTTTCATTTTGCCCTTTACATAGTCATTTTTGAACATGCTAGTATTACTGTGTCATCATAGTCCCCAAGGCAAACACCTGAGTCCCCATCCTCTCTGGGGTCACCTTGTCCCTGCCCACCACTTTTATAGTGTGTGTGTGTGTGTGTGTGTGTGTGTGTGTGTGTGTGTGTGTGTGTTGAGACAGAGTCTCACTATTTAGTCTAGTCTGGCCTTGAACTTACTAGGTAGCCCAGGCTGCCTCCAACTCACAGTGGTCCCATTTTGGCCTCCCAAGCACTACAACTACAGGTGCCCGTCACCACGCCCAGCTCTGTGCCACTTTTTAAACTTCAGTTATTCTGAAAAGTCTAACTTGTAGATGGCCATGTGTCA